GGGCCATATCTGGAACTGAAATCTTTAGTCGATCTCTTAGTTGTAGGATGGAGTCTGTCCTTCTCAATCTTCCGACATTGAAAGCATCGGGCCGAGCGAGGGACCTAGGGAACTCGTTTCCATAGCAATTCTTGATCACATGGAGCGGGAGCAGGATCTCCAGATATGGCTGGGTTTGCTAACCTGTCAGCCACTGTAGATCTTGCCCATATCTTCTTACATGCTTCACTGGTTTTTGCTTTGCCTGGCGCAGAGCAGATCTTATCTGGGGCCAACTATTGACAAAGGGGCAGGCACGCCCTGAGTCATGTGGGCTGGGCCGCGCGCGAAGAGCTTTGCATGGTATCTGGATACGATATCGGCGACATGAGAGGCATGCGGATATTGCATACCCGAGTTCTTGTATCACGAAACACGCAGCATGGGGGAGGGCGGGTGCAGCAGCCAGCTTCAATGTTGATGATGTAGGGAAAATAGGACATTCCTGCAGGCTTCCTTGAGCCTTGATGGATCTGCCATGTGGACTGGTACAAGGGCGAGTAGTAAGGCGGTCCCAACATACCACATGTTCCTATCGATCATATTACGGTATTTTTATACCTTGGTTTTGTTTACTTCATGCAAGTCAAGGCGGACCATCTTTCAGCGATCCAAACTGGAAACCTTATGACGAGCAGTCACGAGCTGGTCTACTTTTGGGGTTTCCATTTCCTTCATCGTAGGGCCCGAAAATGCCCTTTTTCTTCTCCTCCTCGATTACGGGTGGCTTGTTATTTGTTGCTTTGTCTCTTCTTGGAGGAACTCGAAATCCTTGACCCCTGAGTCTCGTGCATATCAATCGACGGCGACGACCGACGACCGGGATTGGAGGATAGAATGCTTGTCGACGAACAATCAGCCGTTGATAAGATTGAAGAAGATCGGACGGAAGAGTCTGGGAAAAGGGGCTGGTTGGCTATTTTCGGAAGATGCCTTGCTTGCTTGGCTTGTTCACCGCTGTCAATCATAAGAGAGTCAATGCAAGGAGAGGCCCGTGATCAAGAACCACGAGGTTGTGCGACTTTCATCACTCTCAATGGAGAAATCCCGTCATGCGGCTGGCCGTCTCGGAAACCCATCCATGACCTAGCTAGTTTTTTTTTCTTGTTCTGGGGTGGAAGTGATGTTGTCATGGTGATACTCGTACAAAGAGGAGCGATGGGAGAACCAATGACATTCCAGGAGCGTGGGAATTACTCCTATTTTCCTTGTTGCCAAGATAACACCATGATGGGTTTGGCTCCAATTTTGACCTCGAATGCAGAGGCCAGACAGGGTGGCCCTTCTTGGCCATGTCTCGTGGGGTAGGGAAAGAAAGATGAGGAAGAAAAGCCAGGAGGAACAGGTGTCACAGACGGGGAATAAGAAGGTTCGTTGTCGTGTTCTAGTAGCTTCAAGTTGGGAAGAAAGCAAGGTAGGGGCTGGGGCTTCCATGTTGTGGAACAAGTTATAGGAACTGGTTTCATTCTCTTTGGGCTTGTCGTATGCGGCTGGCTCCTCAATGTAACGATTCGCACAAGGTTGGATGTCGTTCTCGGATCAGAGTCAATTTCTTTCCGCTCCAAATCCAAGATGCACGACATTTGATATGTGTAGTTTTCCTCGGATGCACAGCATCGAGAAAACAAGGGACCTTTTTTTTTCTCTCTTCTTCTTCTTCTTCCTTTGGTCTCTTTAATGTCCAAGACTGTGGTGGGACGTTTCATTGCATATGTTGTCTCTGAGCTTTGCAATATACGGTACGAGCTTTTTTTCCCATCATACTATGTAGGTGATCTAGAGGGGCGCTCTGTCTGTAGCCGCGATCTCTGAAAAAGGATGTGATCGTGTTGGGCTCGCCCGCGGGATGGCTGCCATAGATGTCTTTATCGCTTACCATGGAGGCGTTACTGCTCCTCCTCCGATCGGAGGGAAACAGAACGGTGGAAAACATCCGTCTTGCTTCGATCACCACGATCCATTCATATCTTCTCTCTCCTTGGGTGCACATGAATTATTTTTCCGGGGTTAGACCTTGTTCAAGAGAACCAACAGATGACTTGTCCCTGACCGAACGACATCGTCATCCTGGTAACCTCTCATATTTTTGTTGGCCCATATTTTCCAGCCCTTGTACGACATTTTAGATATTAATTTGTTTAGTACAACAGAGATCCGCACACGCGCGTGCGCGCAACAACAAAAAAGGAGAAAATTGGAAGGAAACAGAGACACGCATACATTTGTAGCCATACCGACTCTAGGACACCACGTGGGACTCTCTTTGGGACGAGACGACATGTATGTGGAGTTGGGTCCCCCCTTCCCAGGCATCGTGTTTATCGGCTACAAGAAAGGGCAAAGGACCAATATCCTATGTATTTTAAATTCACTTACCGGGAGCAGCATGTCTCTTCCCTACCCATGTCTCGCATCTAGTCTATTATATGTCTCAAATTTCAGAAAGTAAAGTGTAGAGATAATGTGCATGTCGACGATCGACATCCCACGTGTAGTATGTACCAGATATGTACCTAGGTCTTATGTCGAGGAAATATCTATCTCCCTGTAGGCTCACTCATCCGATTCCTATAAACACAAATTGATCGGTATTTAGCCAACCAGCCTTCCTCCTCCTCCTAGGCTGGAAAAGCCACGAACTGGACTTTCAGTGGGTTGGGTCATGAGGGAGAAACCCTGAACGCAATGCAAGGATGGCTTTCCCGATTCGGACTTTGTAGCAGCTGATATAGGAATCACCGCATGTCTCGTTAGCCACGAGGCAAGAAAGGAGAATTTGGAACACGAGGTTGATGATGATGATGATTCTAGAAGCTCCCTTTCATCTTTACATAAGGATGGGTGTTTGATGACGGATCCAGTATGTGGCTTGAGGAGGAGGAAATTGTTTGGGTTCATCGGTTATGAAGAGGAACTATCGAGAGTCTGGGATTCTCAGCACTGTATGAGGTGAGGATAGTGGGAAAATCCACCGCAGGATGCGAATCTTTGTTGGATACAGCTGGAAAGTTCGTACAAGGCCCAGTCAGTCTGGGAGGCGCTTAGCTAGGAAGGGTATATCCTTCAACAAGTTCTAATGTGGCGAATTCTTTCGCGATAGGTCTGGGGAACCGGGTCTCGCTGCACGCACTCAAGGGTGCCCATGGAAGTACCTAGTTGCATTGACCAAGGAATGTAACGAAAGGACGCTGGTTTGAACTTTCCAAGCTCGTAATGCGTATCCACGTGGAGTCGAGCCCAAATCTTGGACTTACACGTACACGTACACGACGTCGGAGGAATTTGATCTTGGGAAGCGGTAGGCAGCGGAAACGGGAGCGGGAATGTAAGGAGCAAGAACACAAAAAAGGGGAGAAGTGGGGAGGGTTGGAGGGAAATTTCGCTTTTTCTTTGGATTCTGGTATTTTTGCCTGCCTGCCACCAACACAGGCCCGACCCATCATTGTAGCCCTCGACTCGACGTATCTGCCTTACCCTGCCTACCTCCACCTTGTGTCCATCTCCTGTGTGTACTGACTGCGCGTGTGCGTGTGCGTGTGTAAAGATGCAACGTGGACTGGATGGTTGTGCCCATGTGTGTGCGTGTGTGTATGTGTTGCCTTAGAAAAAAAGCTGTGTTTGTGTGAGGGAACTTTGTTTTCACGACCCCGGTTGTTGAAATGCTTCAGCTGCTGGCCGGTTTCTAACTCGTTCAAATCCCAAACAACCAACCTGGCTTACAATCTATTGATGCCGGTAGACGGCGTCTGGTCTGGGCTGTATGGCAGCATAAGTATTGATACCAGCACCACCCTGAAACAAGAACCCGCGGGGAGAAAGAGTAACAACTAAGATTCAGTAATGTTCACAATGATGTGATGCCATCGCAGCGCTCGACATATTACTGACCGAGGAGTCTTGTTGGGCTTTGTTATTTGGAATATATTAGACTACCTTACCAAAATACCCCTTTACCCTTCTGTATCATTCTGCGTTGTTGCCCGGGTAACACACTTCACTAGCGCTGTTAAAGAGACGGAGCCTCTCTAATAGTAAGCTTCCATAGATGCAAGAAAGGAAAGAACATTACAAACAAGAAAATCGACTCAGTATATAACCCAAATACCGTACGATTCTGAGCTACCGGTCAAATGGCTGTTCATTCTTTCGAATAAGACATAGCCATCGACACGGAACAAAGACCCCCTTATCTGTATAGCATGTGCTTATGCGGCAGAACGTGGCAACGTTGGAGGGGAGAGAGATACGAATATAGCTGTTATGGGTAAATTTGCCAATCGGGAAGCACATACTCCCGTCTGGGAGATGTGAGCTCGGCGGAAATGGGCATGAAAAGTAATTCACCTAGGTGTGAAGCATACATGTGGGTTTGATCTTGACTTATCTTGTCCAAGAGACGGTCGCAGGCTTATGGCCCTTTGAGCGTGCCACATGTTGGCATCATGGTTCGATAAGCGATGTTGATGATCAGTTCATGTATTGCTATTGTGTTGGTTGTGTGGGTTCAAGAATGGTGGTCTGTTGGGGCGGACGGTTATCTGTGGTCCCGGGGAAGCTCCGGTCCGTTTAAACTGCAGTCATCTTTGGAGGATGATGTGAGAACTCTGCCAGCTCTCTCAGTGGGCAACGACGGGATACGCATACCTCCAGTTAGTCCCCAAGAACAAACCAACGGAAGGGTATCTAGCTCGTCGTGTTTGTCTGTAAGGCCGCGTCAGACATCTGGAAATCTAATCCGAGCCACCCAGCGCTGACCGAGCAATCCGAATGTATTGTTCAACAGTTTTTCACCTGCAAAGGGTCTGTCACTCTATGCAAATAAGCCGATGTTGGTAGAGCTGACCGGCCGGATCCTAACCTCAGTTACTCGCATGTGAGGCGCGCGGGAACAAAGATGGAAGCAAGCCCTCCGAAGGTTCAAGTACCACTTCCACCGAACTTTAAATAAGCAACAAAGATGAGCCCTGCTAGCTCAGCTGGTTAGAGCGTCGTACTAATAGAATTTCTAGAACCAGAGGTTCTATCAGGTCCATGCGAAGGTCAACAGTTCAATCATGTTGTGGGGCATTTCCATTTCCTTTTGCGCTTTCTTTTTTGTTGTTGGTCCAACACTTACTTGGATGTTATCATGTACGAAAGACGGGTGGGCCCTCCAGACATCAACAACGCAGAGTCGTAATCTCACCACTCCGGATGTCACTGCCGTGCTGGGGCGAGGCAGTTTGTTTGCTCCTGCCGCTTACCCATACACACCACCATCATCGCCAGTTAGTTAGTTACATCCCATAAGCAGTGAGGACGCACGCACGACAAGGACCCTGAACCTGTGCGAGGTCGCAACTAATCCCCATCAGGGTCGCAACTCGGATAATTCATCTGACCGGGCATGAACACGGTGGGCTGATAATATCGTGCCTTGCTTGCTCACTCCGGGTGATTTTCCTGCCGCCAGAAGGTAGGACAGACACGAGCGGTCCGGAGGCTGAACCGGGCGAGGTCTGGTCCGCTCGTTAGAACGGCAATATCTCGGACGGATCTGGTTACCAAGCAAGATCTAAAATAAATCATCGAGAAAGATAAGTAAAGTAGGTTCTTTCATGTAGGTAAGAAATATTCTCTATATCCGAAACAAGCTGACATCTTCAAAAAGTCTTTATCTTGAGCATCTTGTGGATTCACTCACATACACTGTACGACATGTCGGGAACACAAGAAGGTGCTGTATCCAGACAATTATGTCTCTTGGCTCTTGTCAAAGGCATAAACAAGACCATCAACTGTTAGGGGGTACTATTCTTGTCACTGATTATGAGCATATTTGTGTTGTTGGATGGGTGCACTGTCAAGGGGAACAAAACAAGTCAACAATGAGCTCTATGCAGCTATCTAAGCCACCATAAACTACGTGTCATCGTAAGAGATTCTACAAGGAGCCGAAAGATCCAGGTTCCAAGACGATGGGTTAATATTACTCATATGGGACATTTACTTGGGTAAACACGTCACAGTTGAGGAGCAGGTTTAAACAATGTAGTGTTATTCCTCATAGAAACACTACATATGGCAGAGAGGAAAGAAGGGATGAATGAACAAGGTAAGTAAAAAGTTCAATCTGTCTATGAAACATAACTGTGTGTTCTGTTCTGTGTAAAGTTGTGTGTGAGTGTGCGAGTGTGTGTGCAAATGCTATTAGACAGAAAAAAAAAAAAAGAATAAAAGCACACTGAAATACAACGGTCTTTCGCATAGAAAAAACCAAAAAAAAAAAAAAAAACGCCAAATTCCTGGAACCAAAGAGCCATACTCAAATCCAAAGGCATGCAAAAGAGATATAAAGACAAGAAAAAAGGCGGCAGCTAAATCGGTCCTGCTAGCCAAAGGTCCAGTGACCCACCCACCCCAAAGGAAAGATGCAGAACAGAAGAAGCTGAAAATGATTACAAGAAAAAAAAAAGACAAAAATTAGAACAATAATGGAGAAGCGAAGCAGGGAAAATAGTCGTGGACGACATTGTCCTCTTTCCTTGCCTGTTCCCCCTCATCCAGAGCATTACACCGTCCATTATCTTGGCAAACATCATCCGTCATGTGTGTCTTGTTTTACAAAAGGGCCTCCTTGAGGAAGCCACCGAGGACCTTGGCCTGTGCAAGTATTGGGTTAGCATGATGTGTTCCGTCTCGTGGACATTGTGAATAACATACCTCATCGTCATGCATCATGGAGAAATGGTTACCGGGCATGTGCCTGAACTGCATCTTGTTGACATCAAGATACTCGTCCCACCTGTTGGGGCCAAAGTCGGACCTGTTGTCCAGGAGGAAAAGAGCGTGGCCCTTGGGGTAGGGCTCGGGGCGAGGATCTGTGGGCAGCTTGCAGACACCGTGCTCGCACCAGATGGCCATGACGTTGGGGCACTTCTCCTTGGGGATCGGCTCGGCGTCGTAGTTGCTCAAGGCAGTGACCGAGGCAGAGAAGTGGGGGAGGAGCCATGGGGGAACCTTCTTGTCGTCGCCGTCACCGAGCAAGCCGATGGAGGCGAACCAAGCGTGCAGACCTTGAGGAAGGGGCTCGATGGTGACTGGGCAGGGCGCGTCAATGATGACCAGGTTGTCGACCTTCTCGTTGGCCTTGGTAAGCTGGTTGACAATCTCGTAGGCGATGACGCCGCCTGCGCTCCAGCCGGCCAGCGAGTAGGGGCCGGTAGGTTGACGTCGCTTCATCTCCTCGATGAACTTGGCCGCCATGCCGTAGACGCCGCACTTGTACTCCTCTGGCGTCTTCATGAAGGGAGAGAAGAGACCCCAGACGGCCCACTCCCCGCCGACGTCGGCAATCTCGGTGTACGAAGTTGCGGATCCGCTGCCGTCGGGAATCATGAACAGATGCTTGGTTGCCGTGCGATGGCTTCCCGAGAGAAGAACTGAAGAAGCCTTGCGGTGAGGATAGGCGTCGACGATTGCTGTAGGCCTGGGTGGCTTGGGCGGGCAAGGCTCTTCAAGTCCAATCCTGGGGTACTTCGGGGCGGGGGCAGAAGTAGCGGCAGCTTTGGGAGACGACTCCTTCGCAGGAGCGGGGGCCTTCTTGGGAGCATCCGAGATGCCAAGGGCACGCTCCACGCTCTTCAGCGATGGGTTCGACACGAAGAGATCAGAGGGGATGTTCATGCCAGTCTTCTCTCTCAGAGTGCCGAGAATGGACAGACTCATGAGAGAGTCCATGCCAAGGTTGGCGAGATCGGGTGCGGCCATGATCTCGTCAACCTCGACGGCCATCTCCTGGGCAATGGTGTTGCGGATGATGCTCTGCAGCTCCTCATTGCTACCGCTTGCCTCCTTGCAGTCACCCTTGACGGAACCGGCATCACTGTCATCAAGAGGGGTCGTGACGTTGGAATCGGACTCGATCTCGGGCGACTCGTCATCCGACAGGCTGTCTGAATCACCCGACGAGATGCTCACGTTCTTGCGGCCCGATGTCTCGTATTGCTGCAGGTAGCTCTTGAATGCGCCGATGGTGGGATGGTCGACGAAGGCGTGCGAGTCGATGTCCAGATCCATGTCCTCACGGATCCTGCCGCTGACGGTCAGAGACATGAGCGAGTCGACGCCAAGGTCGGTGAAGGCGATGTTGTCGGCAAGCTCATCGTGGCTGCAGCCAACCTCCTTGGCAAGGATGTCCATGACCTCGGTGACCACGCTCTTGAGCTTCTGGTTGACCTTGGAGATGTTGGAAGGCGTTACCGTCTCCTTCTTCCTCTGGGTCTTGGCAGGGGCAGCAGTCTTGGCCGACGAAGGCTTGGCCGCAGGTGCTGCGCGAGCTGGAGCAGCAGAGGCAGCCAGCGCGCCGCGTGGTGGAAGCATCATGTTGAGAACCTTGCGTGGGATGGCCTGGAACTTGAGGTCGCCAGTCATGCCGATAATCCTGTCGCCGTCAAAGACGTAGACGTCGCCAGCCATGACCTTGCTTCCCTTGACGGGCTGCATGCGGATGTAGCTGCGGTACTCCTTGCTGGGGTCGGGCATCTCGGTGAAGCGCAGAGAGCCCCATCCGTGAGAGATGTAGACCTGCTCCCGTGAGTCGACAGCATCGGTGCCATTGATGATGAAGCCTGAGATGTGGCAAAGACTGTCGATGTGGTAAGGCGAGAAGTGGTAGGTTCCATCCTCGGCAGTGGTCTGGAACTTGATCTTGGCAGTGGCCTCACAGGTTTCGCTGTCAAGGATGACCTCCTCCATGCCGCGGTACCGGGGGTTGTAGTCGACAAGAGCAGTGAAGAGCTTGTAGGCAAGGCCGCGACCGATCTTGGAAGCGGTTCCGCGTCTCTCGGCCTCCTGGAGAGCCTCGATGCGGGATTTGATCAGGTAGGCGACCCGATCAAACTCGTTCTGCCAGTCCTCGGTGCTGTTGAAGTAGACCTTGCACATGGCGTGCTCGATCTTCTTGGCGCCTTCGCCCGTGTGGAAGACAAGGTCGGCATGGCCCAGCTTGGCGTTGGCCGTGACGGTGAGTCTGAGGATGTGGCTCTTGCCCTCGTTGAAGATGAGCGTCTTGGGCACCTCCATGTGGGCAACATTGCAGCCGATGTTCTGCGCCTCGGGGCGGAGCAGCTTGTAGGCATAGTCACAGACTGTGATGGCCATGTCTCCGTAAAGGGACGAGGGACAGAGGGGCGCGCCGTTGACAAGATGGCCCGAGACGGCATTGCGGAGCTTGGGCTCGGCGAGATCCGACTCAATCTCGACGATGGCAACATCACCCTTGACCTCTTCCCTGATGATCTTTTGCACAGACGTCGTCGACAGCTTGGGCTTTGCCGCGGCAATGGCCTTCTGGGGGCTTGCAGACCCAACACGGTTCTTGGAGAGACACCAATCACCAGAGTACTGGAGCCAGTAGTTCTTCTCGTCGTACGAGTAGCTTGGAAGATCGAGCAGACGCACCGAGCTCTTGAAGTCGCGGTGGTACTCGTTGAAGTCGATGTTGAGACCCGTGGTGTGGAGGGTGCACAGACTGCTCGTAAGAGTCTTGTAGCACGACTCGTTGCGACGAAGCGTGGGCACAGCAACGGTGGCAACACCGAAGGCGGCCTTGACCATGCCGGCGCAGACGGGGTGAGGTCCGACCTCAAGCCAGACCGTCTTCTCATCGATGGCACCCGACTGCTGGGCTGATACCAGGCCGCCGAGGAAATCCACAGCCTCACGGGCGTGGTTGCGGAGGTAGGTGGCATCGATGCGCTCGCCCTCGACAAGCTTGCCAAGAAGAGGAGAGATGACTGGGACCTTGGGGGCGCTGAACTGGACAGAGCGGGCCAACTTCTCGAAGTCGTCCAGGATGGGCTCAACCTGGGCAGAGTGGAATGCAAACGGCACACGGAGCTGAGTGCACTTGAAACCGGCACCGGTGAGGTGCTGGGCGAGCTCAGTCATCAAGCCGGCCTCGCCGCTCAGCACAGTCTCTCGCGGGCCGTTGATGCAGGCGATGTTGACCCCCTTTGCCTTGTCGCCAAGAGCTTCGGTGACAGCCGAGACAGAGCCCATGGTGGCGAGCATGGCATGAGTGCCAG